TTTGTACTTGTATCATGCAAGTAGTATACTAGTTGTATACTATATTAATATTAAACCTGTTAGTTGTTCTGTATCTTGGAAGATATACTATGTGGTATGTGCTACTTTTGCTGGCCAAAATCAGGATGTCTTATGCTGCTATGCTATTGTTTTCTTCAATTATTTGTCTTAGGAAATTTGTCAGGGTGAGGGTAAGGGATAGCTCAAGTGGTTAAAGTTTCCTTCCTGATCATCGATTCTCATCCCCGCCCTTGAAGCTCTCTAAATACCAAAAAATAAAAAAGGGAATTCGTCAGGGTGCGTGATGATTTCAATTGGATTTAGCTTGTGGAGTTTATATATATAAAAAAATGGATTAGGCTAAGCTTTTGTATAAAATCCTGTGCCCAACCCGTAAAATAATGTTGGGTTTTTTGGGCTTTTCAATCTGGAATTCGATTTTGAACTAAAAATATGTGTTTAGGCTTGTCTAAACTTGTATTTTTTCTAAACCAAGTTGGATTAGGCTAATGGGTTGGGCCTTTGATGATCACCTCTAGATTTAAAACATTTGAATATATGATATGAGTAAGAAAATTAACCTTTTGATTATGTTGTTGAGTGCTAGGCCAGTAAGAAAAACCTTTTGCTTATGTTATTGAGTCCTAGGCCACCTAGGTGGTTAAAATGTTAGACATTTATGCATAAATTGAACACACATAAAGGATAAACTAATATGAAACCTTATTTATATGTTACTCCATACCTCCTAACAACAAAATACGAACTTACAAAGTATTGTAAGGAGTATCAATCAAGGGTTTCAAGGCCTTTGTTATCAACTGAAATTTATTTATAATTCCGCGAAAGCTTTAACTCTTACTTTGTAGTCCGTATAATATTTGAGCTTGCCAAAATAATTTTCCAATTGAAATTGCGTTTGTCAATGTTCTGGCAAGAGTGGTAACAAGCGCAAAAGCGTTGCGTACTGATTACTGAAGCTTTCTAAGCCAGGACCCAGCTTTGTAGTTTTAGGTAGTCGATTAATTTAGACGACCAGCACTTGTTTACGGAATTAAAGATAACTGGAGTAAAGAAAGAGAAAAACAACACTGAAAATGATACTCCGTACATTGTTTTTGTTACGTATGATCTACGATTTTATCCAAAAATAGGTAGAGACACCACCTAAATTATCCTAGTCAAAATGGTATTTATTTTCCCTCTCCTCTCATCTCATCTTGTATAAAAACTAGAATAGACCCGGTCTACAATAAATTATTGTAAACCCTACCTTCTAGTATACCATACGAATGTGATATCGCTCAAAAAGTAAATTTATCATTATAAAAAGTATCAAATAGTAAATTACATCATTCAAAAGATGATTTTTAAATTTTATCATCCTAAAGATAATTATATAATCTCATTAAATGGTTTAATATGAGATCAAAATATAACTCACAAAAAGATAATTATATCATCTAAAAAAGTGATTATATCATCCAGAATGTGATTATATTATTTGAAAGTGTCAAATTTTGGGTTTACAATAATTTATTGTAGACCGGGTCCATACAAGACCAATTACTCGTCTTGATCTGGCTAGCTGACCACGCAACATAAATCACTATCTACTAGAGTTAGTCACTTGGTCTTTAAAAAAAATTGAAGCCATGTATTCCATTTGTGTAAAAATTGTTGACTTTACAAGTTTTCTATTTTTGAAAACCTTACAAGTTGACATTTTGGAGTGAGGGAAGGATAAGAGAATTCATCTACAAAGTGCCCCGCAATTGATCCAATTTGGGGTTTAGATCGATTTTATTGGTTTGGTTTAAGTTCGGTCCAAGCATAACTAGTCTTGTCTTATTAAATCTAAAATTTTGATCTTTATTCTAGTCCTATTCAGTCCTAGATTGTTAGAGATTTGCAAATTTGGATGGTGTTCTCCTTATCACTAGACCAAATGTAGCTTCTCGTAATAAATCCATTTTTTTTTTTAAAAAAACAACTTCCGTATATCTACTAAAGCTGACGTGGAAAATTAGATAAGTTTGTAGATACTGCTCAGCGAAGATTTTGGTAGTTGAAGAATGAAAGGGCAATCTTACAAATCTCTTTACTTTTCAAATTTAGCAGTTAAGTTCTTAAGTACAATTGAATGGTTTTTTTTTTTTTTTTTTTTAAGTAGTTGGGTCTAATTGTATAAATAAAATCGTGTCTGCTTAAACTCTCCAATAATAATTGCATATTTTTATTGAAATAAAATTGCATTGGACATAGCTGGCATTATTATTATCCTTTCCCTTTCCCAGGATAGTAATAGTTGTTGCCACATTATTAATCATAGAAATACCAACAATTTATATTATATTATATTGTACTATAGTGTAATAATCATTGTTAAATCTGTTTCTGGGATTTCCAGATTCAGAATTTTAGCTACAAAATTGAAGAAGAAAAGCTGCAGAAAGTTTAATCTTTCTTCAATAATGGTGGATTATCGAAAGATACTGTTTGGTTGGTGTTTGATCAATGTGTTGTTTATCTGGAGTTATACCTCGAGAGCGAGGTCAACGGCAATGGCCGAATCATTTATGAAATACAAAGATAAAAATCAAGCAGTTGAGGTTCGAGTTCAAGACCTTCTTAGTAGAATGACTTTGCAAGAGAAGATTGGTCAGATGACTCAAATCGATCGTTCTGTTGCTTCTTTTGAAGTCATGAAGAATTACTCTATAGGTAACTTTTTAAATTTTGTAACCCCGTTTATGTTATTACTTCTCAATTAGACATGTCAAATGGGTCGGTCATTTTTTATAAAAAAAATTCGCATTTTGGTCATGTTATATTGGGTTAAGTCGGGTTTTCACACCTTATTACAAGTCTAGTCAAGTTTGGGTCGGTCAATGTCTATATTTGGGTTTTATTTACGAAACATCATTTAATTATAAGCAGGGAGTACGTTGAGTGGGGGAGAAAGTGTGCCTTTTCGAGGAGCAACAGCTCGAGATTGGATAAACATAATCAATGAATTCCAGGAAGGTGCCTTGGCTAGTCGTCTGGGGATACCAATGTTTTATGGAATAGATGCTATTCATGGCAATGCCATTGTCTACAATGCCACTGTATTCCCCCATAACATTGGTCTTGGAGCTGCTAGGTAACTTGTTACCAATATGACACGAATTGTTATTGATCTTGATCGTTGAATATAATGTTAGTTACTTATGCTGAGTGTAGAGATGCAGAACTTATCAGGAAAATTGGTGCCGCGACTGCTTTGGAAGTCAGAGCTACAGGGATTTCATACGCGTTTGCTCCTTGTATAGCCGTAAGAATCTGCACAATTGCTTATATATCTGCATCAATATATTTGAAATTGAATGGTGTCTGACAATAATTCTCAGGTCTGTAGAGATCCAAGATGGGGCCGTTGCTACGAAAGTTACAGTGAGGATCCTCAGATTGTGCAGGAGATGACAGATATAATCTATCCTATAAAGGGCATACCTTATGTTGGAGGAAGGTATGCATTATGTTACATGAAGATATCATTTTCAGAAACACTGTTTCTCCTTGATCAGAACTTCTGCATCAGAATGTTGAAACAGAAAAATGTATTTGATGCAGGGACAAAGTAATAGCTTGTGCTAAGCATTATGTGGGTGATGGAGGGACAACTAATGGCATTGATGAGAGTAACACAGTTATAGATGCAGCTGGGTTGTTTAAAATTCACATGCCTGCCTACCTTGATGCAATTAACAAAGGTGTATCGACGATCATGGTCTCTTTTTCTAGTTTGAATGGAAAAAAGATGCATGCTAATCGGGATTTAATCACTGGTTATCTCAAGAACACACTCCAATTCAAGGTGACAAATCACTTACATAGCTGAATCACACTAATGCACTGTTTTTTCCCTCAAATATCTACCAATGTGATTTCTCATTAGTATTCTTTTAAACAAACAGGGGATTGTTATCTCAGATTGGGAGGGACTTGATAGGATGACTACTCCAAATCATGCCAACTTTACAAACTCTGTCTTGGCTGGAATTCGAGCTGGATTAGACATGGTTTGTGGCTTTTTAAGCATACTTCATCATTTCATTATTTTAGCACTTAGTTTTTGCTCCTTGCACCTCAAAGCACCTTCCAAATTGATGATGATGTTTGTTAAATGCACAGGTTATGCTCCCCTACAATTATACTGAATTCATGGACATACTTACCAACCTGGTTAAGAATGACTATGTTCCTATGGAACGCATTGATGATGCTGTGAGGAGAATTTTGCGTGTCAAGTTTATTATGGGTCTATTCGAAAACCCTATGGCTGATTTTAGTCTTATTAATGAGCTAGGAAGCCAGGTAACAGCCACATTTGCCAAACTGCATATCAGTCCCCTAATCATGTTATGTCATCTGCTGCTTCATTCTGAGCTTCCTTTCAGATTGACATTTCAATTTCAATTTTTCAGGCTCACAGAAACTTGGCAAGAGAGGCAGTAAGAAAATCTCTTGTACTGCTAAAGAATGGTAAAGAAGGAGATAGCCCATTACTACCCCTTCCTAAAAGAACATCAAAGATACTAGTAGCTGGTACCCATGCTCATAATTTAGGTTATCAATGTGGTGGATGGACAATTAGTTGGCAAGGATTTCTGGATAATAATGAAAATAGAGGTAAACAGAATTGTTCATTTAATAGTGATTTTATGATGACAATCTGATATTTTCTAATAACTTAAAGAATGATTCTATGTTCAAAAGATGAAAATAAACTGAAACATACCTTTTTTTTTTAAACATTGAGCAGGAACTACTATTCTGAATGCTGTAAGATCAGCTGTCCACCCAAGTACAGAAGTTGTATACAAGGAGGAGCCGGATAAAGAATTCGTGAACTCCAACAATTTCACTTATGCCATCATTGTAGCTGGTGAGCCCTCCTATGCAGAATGGCATGGAGATAGCCAGACACTCACGATGACTGAACCAGGCCCTGCAATTATCAGCAATGTCTGCAAGTCCATCAAGTGTGTTGTCGTTGTTATCTCTGGCCGCCCCATTGTCATTGAGCCTTACATGGACTCCATCGATGCCTTAGTTGCTGCCTGGTTGCCTGGTACAGAAGGTCAAGGAGTTACTGATATGCTATTTGGTGACTATGAGTTCACAGGAAAACTACCACGGACGTGGTTCAGAACAGTCAATCAACTGCCCATGAATGTTGGAGATCTGCACTATGATCCTCTTTTCCCTTTTGGATATGGCCTAACAACTAACAATATACGCTTATCAGTTACTAAGTCTGAGATTCAATATGAATGATAAGAATCCTGAATACTTGGCAAAAAAATCTACTATCTCGAAGAAGAGAAGCATTACTATACAGTCTATACTCTGTACTGGTTTGGTTACACTTAGGCTAATTGGCCAAGAATACAAAGTCAATGACAGGCTATACAGACATACAGAGACGAAAAAAATAAATTCTTTCTGCATATCTAATTTCACATGTGTATTGTGTAATGCTGAAGATTGCATTTTAAAAAAATAAAGAAGAACATGCACATTATCTTCTTTTGGGGTTCAAAAACCATGATCAGTGTCAACTGAATTTCACTTCAGTGCTAGAAGTACTCTGTATGAGCTCGGCATGGATTATGTAATTCCTTTATTTTTTGTAAGCTAAGGATACACTAGTTAATGACTATACTATACTCGTCAATATTGCTTCAAAAATTGTTGTTGATATGCAATTTTCTGACATTGCATAGCACAGCCATGATGTTCCAAAATATGGAGAGCTATCCTGCATATTATTGAGACTCCGATCCGGGACTAACCTTAGGAGTTAATTTAGCTAATACATCCAAGTAGTCCGGCTAATTGGAATTGCCTTGGGTATTAGTGTATTACTGCCCAAGACTTTAACCAACTAAAATAGCTAACATTCACATAGAGACAATCTGTACAGTTTAAAAATTTTCAGATCACTTTTGTTAGCGTGTGAGCCCAATCAATAATAGGACTTAGTTTATTGTATTATTATTTTATTATAAGAGGACTTAGTTCATTGTAAGAGTCATTTTTAAATGCTTGAAGTTCTGCCAATTATTGGGAATGTGAACGCCTATATTAGACTAAGAATGGTATTTCACTGTATTCAAATTTCTGTTTTCCCTTGCAAATTTGTAATTTGTAAATCCTCCATTACTGTAGAGTTTTAGTTTTTGTATTTAGGGAGTGATCCAAAATCAAAAGTCAACCTGATCAATGGCTGAAACATACATGAAATACAAAGATCAGCATGAAGCAATTGAAGTTAGAGTTGAAGACCTTCTTAGTAGAATGAGTTTGGAGGAAAAGATAGGTCAGATGACTCAAATCGATCGTGCTGTCGCCTCCTTTGATGTCATGAAGACTTACTCTATTGGTAACTTTTATCATGTTAAATAAGTTTTATTGTTTTCACCTGGTTATGTGAGTTAAAGCTTACTGGAGGCGATATATGAAAAATTACGCAGGAAGTGTGCTGAGTGGGGGAGACAGTCCGCCTTTTCCGAAAGCCACGGCTGAAGATTGGATCAACACAGTTAACAAATTTCAGGAAGGTGCCTTGGCTACTCGTTTGGGGATACCGATGATTTACGGAATTGATGCTATTCATGGCAATGCCATCGTCTACAATGCCACTGTATTCCCCCATAACATTGGCCTTGGAGCTGCTAGGCAAGTTGTTATCCTAGTTTTTTTTTTTCCGTGTTCACTTTTCATGTTTTTAGTTAGCCTTGATTTATTTATATTCTGAATGTAGATTTAAGAGTTAATAGGGGTATCCATTATTGGATTAAAACCAAAATTCAATCTAATATTCCAATCCAATTCAATTCAATTCAATCCGAACCAAATTATTAATTTAAATTGGATTCGAACTTTAAATAGGATTGGATCGTATCGGATTGATATTTTTTTGAAACTTCGGATTTTCGGTTTGGATTGAAATGGCCTTGTTAGGATCTAAAAAATCTGAAATATAAAACCGTGATTTTTCAAATAAAGATTGTTTACATTAATTACATAAAACTATGTTTTTAATTACATTTATCTTAAAATTATTATTTCAATTAGACATGTCAATTTGGGTCAAATTTCGGGTTGTTTGGTTCATTACAAAATATGATAAATGGGTCAAATCGGATCGATTTTGGGTCATTTGGGTTGAGTCGGATCAGGGTTCGGGTTCTCTCTCAGTAAGTAGGGTTAGGAATTGACAGATTTAATTTTCAATACTTGTATTAAATCATGTACACCTATGTTCAGGGCACCCCTCCACCCTAGTATTACACAATAAAGCCCCTGGGACATCATTGCTAATGCAAACATTCAAAATGGAATGATAAAACAGCTATATATCTTTATTAATGTACCTCTCCACAACAAAACACTATCTTAATGATGCTGATAGACAAAAATGTTAATTGCTTATGCTGAGTGTAGAGATCCAGACCTTATTAGGAGGATTGGTGCTGCAACTGCACTGGAAGTTAGAGCTACAGGGATTCCATACGTCTTTTCTCCTTGTGTTGCCGTGAGTATCACTGCAGAAAGTTCATTTATTTGTATAAGTATCTTTCCAGATGGAAGAAAATTTGTCTGACAAATGGTAGATTATGATTCACAGGTCAGTAGAGATCCAAGATGGGGCCGCTGCTACGAGAGTTATAGTGAGGATCCCCAGATTGTGCAGGAGATGACTGAGATAATCTATGGTTTACAAGGAGTAAACCCTAAAGGATCTCAGAATGGCATTCCTTATGTTGGGGGAAAGTATGCAGACTATGCACCATATTACATGAATAAATGACATTTTTCCACTCTCATCTTTCACCTATCAGAACAATCAGTATTTTAACTCGAATTATATATGTTGATACAGGGACAAAGTTGTAGCTTGTGCTAAGCATTTCGTGGGTGATGGGGGGACAACAGAAGGCCTTGATGCAAGTAACACAGTTGTGGACACTGCTGAGTTGTATAAAATCCACATGCCTGTCTATCTCGACTGTATCAGCAAAGGGGTGTCAACAATTATGATCTCCTATTCTAGCTTAAATGGAGAAAAGATGCATGCCAATCGTACCCTTGTCACAGACTATCTCAAGAACACTCTCCAATTCAAGGTAAAGTAACACTTCCATAATTAATTCGCGCTATGCACAATACTTATTTCCCAAAACTCCATCAATTTAATTCTCTCATTAATCGGAATTATATTGAACAAGTAGGGGTTTACTATCTCTGATTGGGAGGGACTTGATAGGATGACTACTCCTTATCATGCAGACTATACATACTCTGTTTTGGCTGGGATTCAAGCTGGAATAGACATGGTTAGTGTTTTCCAAGCAAACTTTATCATTATCCTCTATCTAGTCTCTGGCTAACATTTATGGCACTAGTAATAATTTGCACCTCAAAGATGCCCGTTTTGACATTGCATAATGGTATAATGTTACATTTACAGGTAATGGTTCCTTTTAATTTTACTGAATTTATAGACACTCTTACCAATCTGGTGAAGAACAAATCTATTAGTATGGGGCGTATTGATGATGCTGTGAAGAGGATTCTGCATGTCAAGTTCATAATGGGTCTATTTGAAAATCCTATGGCCGATTTTAGTCTGGTTAATGAGCTTGGAAAACAGGTAACAGCGACATTTGACAAACATGCTTGTATTTGTATATTACAGTGAATACAGTCCGTTAATTATGTTAAGAAGTACGTTTTAAAAGAGTTTCAAGGGAAAATGAAGCATAAGGTTCACATCATTGGGTGTCATTTGCAGGCTTTAGTCTAAGATTCCTTTTAGACTGATGTTTCATATTTTACTATGCAGGCTCACAGAGACTTGGCAAGAGAGGCGGTAAGAAAATCTCTTGTACTCCTAAAGAATGGTAAAGAAGGAGAAAGTCCATTATTGCCCCTTCCTAAAAGTGAGTCAAAAATACTTGTAGCTGGTACTCATGCTCATAATTTGGGTTACCAATGTGGTGGATGGACAACTACTTGGCAGGGATTTTCAGGAAATGATGGTACCAGAGGTTAGCTTAAATGATGAATTGAGTTTAAATCTTTTGATTATTTTCTAAAAATGCCATATAGAATGTTTCTATGAAACATACCTTTTTTTTCTACATTGAGCAGGAACAACAATTCTGGATGCTGTGAAATCTGCTGTCTACCCAAGTACAGAAGTTGTATACAAGGAGAACCCAGACGAAGATTTCATCAAGTCCAACAACTTCACTCATGCCATCATTGTTGTAGGTGAGCTTCCCTACGCAGAGATGCATGGTGATAGCCAGACGCTCAAGATGATAGAACCTGGACCCACTGTGATCAGCAATGTCAGTGGGTCCGTCAAAAGTGTTGTTGTTGTTATCTCTGGCCGCCCCCTTTCCATCGAGCCTTACATTGCCCCCGTCGATGCCTTGGTTGCAGCATGGTTGCCTGGTACAGAAGGCCAAGGAGTGGCTGATCTGCTGTTTGGTGACTATGAGTTCACTGGAAAGCTGCCAAGGACATGGTTCAAAACTGTTGATCAGCTCCCCATGAATGTTGGAGATCCACACTATGATCCTCTTTATCCCTTCGGATTTGGTCTGACAACAAATGCAATAGGCTTATCAGCGACTAAGTAAGACATTCAATATGAATGATAACAGACCAAAATGTTGGACTGACAGCATAGTCTATAGGGAGACTTGAAGGAAATATATCTTATTCTCTTAGTAAGAAAAAGAAGTGAATGTGTGAAATAAAGCCCTTAAAGGTTTTCTTGTGAAAATTACTCCCAGTTTATTACTATTGCAAATGATTTTCTTCAACTTAGAACATCAGTGGCAGCTCTACCAAATATCTTAAAAGATAACAAAGTTTTAGATTTCTGTAAACAACATCCACCAACAAGTTTATAAAAAAGCAAAGTTCAACTTCCCTGAGTTCGAAGCCCTGACCTATGGCCTCATAAACTAGGAAAACTGGGAAAGAGTGCTTCCATTTGATCTCTTGAAAATTTTCCTTGCAGTAATTCCCCTGAACGCCTCGAGTACAGAGTTGAAACCATTCGTCATCCTTCAAGAACTTCAAGAAAACTAAACACCTAAGAACATTTCTTGGAATGGCATTGCTGATTTATCACCAGGGAAGGCAGTTTCTACAACTTATAAAAACACACAATCCTAAGTAGATGTCTAGACTTCTACAGAAAAACTGATAAAATTTGCCGTTCTCTGTGATACATCTGAACCACCAATGGCAGCATGAAAATCACCACAAAAGGCACAAATTCAATGTAGAAAAACCGAAATGTAAAGGTGTAGCATATAAATTGGTAAATTCACAGATAGTATGATCAATTAGTACATATCAAATGCTTGGATAGATAAAGTACGGCTACAAATTAACTGTCTCGCTCTTCTTTATTACACTACTCATCTGGAGGTACGAAATCAGGTGTGGTCGCTGAAGAAAAAATTGCATACCTCGGAAGCTACAAAAACAGTAAAATGTTCAACTTAGAAGAAATCATTTCATGCCATGCTCAAATCTATTTGTCAGAAAGGGCTTTGGACATAATAGTGAAGTTGCTCGCTTGTTGGATAATCCCACTGGAGTTGAAATTCTTTCCCTTCAAAAGTGCAGAATACCAATGTGCAGATAACTTAGGATATCTTTTTAGATCTGGATCATCCAAATCCACATAATAAATGCCAAAACCCCATTTATATCCTCCTCCTAGCTCGAACATATCCAAAAATGACCATAAGAAATACCCTCTTGTGTTTGATCCATTCCTTCAGTTCCGGGTTAAGAAAAAATTAGACATAAAGAGCATAAAAAGTTATTGCAAGTCACACACCTACTAGCAGCTAAATTGTTAGCCAATTCTTAATAGTCAGACATCATACCTCAATGCATCAAGCAAGTATCCTATAGAAGCATTAAGATATTCAACCCTTGATGTGTCTTGCAATGATGCACTACGCTCTGTTCGGTAACCTAAAAATTACAGGTGCAGTATTAGCAAATAGTGGTCAAGTGTAAAAGGCAATAGGTTCAATTTGTTGTATAAATTTTGAGAGGAGATAGAAGAACCATTTTCATGTATATAGAGAGGAGGATTTCCATATTGTTGTTTAAAATATTCCAAAACACCTTGTACACCCTGATAACTTGGATACAATTGGACCTGCTCTAGACCAAGGTCAGTTCTCACCCTTTCACCATCATTTCTATCTGCAGAAAGTAAACATTTGATTAGCACTAAGTTGAGCAACCTAGCATTTTAGCACTTATCTTAGAGATAAGATTACAAATTCCCAAAACCAGGCAAAAAATACTTTTGACAGAGAATACTAGAAATTGAGTCAACGAGTACTAAAACATACAGATAAGTTCGACTCCCCTGTCTGCATCAAAATCTCTAAGGTCCGCTGTGAGGTTGCTTGTGTTGTCTTTGACACCTATAGTTGTGTAGACATTCACTCCAATAAAATCGAAGGAGCTCTTCACTAGTTCAGATTCATGATCTGAGAAGGATGGAAGTTCCCACCCACTGACTTCTTCATCACGTCTGGATAATCACCAAACACCAGGGGATCCATAAACCTGATACAACATTGAAGATGTCGCAATAAGTACCACCACATTTTCAAAATAGAGATGAATAGCACTGGGAAACGAGCATAAGGTGGTAGCAGACACTAAATAAGCCATGATGATCTGAAGAAAAAAATTATGGCATATTGGACAAAGTTACAACATCACGCACCAACCAATCCTGAAATCGCGAGCTCTTTGAACCGCAAGTAAATCTTCTTCTATATTTGTTTCAGGAACACTTGACTCTGCATAGAGATTCAGACCTATAAAGCCATGTTGTTTTCCCTGCATGCATGTCATTCTATAGGTAAGTTCTAAGAAAGACAAATATCTCAATAGGTAACATGGTAGCACCACTTTCAGACTTCGGTGAGAAGAACCTGGTATGTTTTCCTATACAGCCTCACAACTGATGCATGTGCTAGCAACAAGTTGTGAGCAACCAGATATGGCTCAGTAGTAGAATTTCCTTTTGTACAAGACCCAAATGGCTCAGAACATATCTGAGGCGGAATTAATCCATGATCATAACCATATTCAGCAAACATATTGGGTTCATTGTATGTTGTCCGATACAAAACTCTATCACCAAACTCTCTGAAGCACACATTAGCATATGCTGTGAAGTCTTCCCTGCATCCGCATTTCACAAAGAGTGTTAAACCATGAGCTTTTGTTATATGCATAGCAAACAAAGGAGATAAAGTTTTAGATCAATACACAATCTGTTGGTTAACCCATCCTCCATAATTGTCTTCAAGTGCTTGAGGTATGTCCATATGCTGCAAAACCATGTGTGGTTGAATTCCTAAATATTTATGGACTAGTAAAGTTTTCATATATATTGGTGGACCCAAATTCTGAAGAAATTTTGATAATTACCGTGAAAAATGAGTTCGTTGAGAAGATTGTTGTAATATTCTACAGCTTTTAGATTGACAGGTCCTTTTCCATCTGGGATTTAAAAATCAGGAAGAAAGGATTTGTGCTAGAACAAAGAAACACTGCATTAACATATTGGATAGCTACAAAAGGACATATTGTACTTGGGATCAGTCTTGACCAAGAGATGGAGAACCTATATGCATCTAAACCCGTATCTACCATTAGCTGGACATCTTCCTGGGAAATAACATCAATATTTTATAAAAAAAATAAAAATAGAAGATATATACTAGTAGTTTACTATATACAATGCAGAAGGAAGATGATGCTGATCATATATTAGCCAAAGGGATTATATCTTGTCAAATGAACAATCATAGAGCATGCCTCAAGTGAAAATGAAGCACATTATATGGAAACTTTCATAGCATGGCTATGACAGTCATTTTAAGTCAGAATAAATGACATAAACGTGAGAAAATCATCATGCAACTTTAGTGATTTACATACTAGAAAGTAAGCTCTTGTTTGAGATAAAATTTTCTGAAACAAATGGTGAGTAGATAATGAAACAGAAAATTATAAACATTGCAGCCACTAAGGAAAAGAAAAAAAAAAAAAAAAAAAAAAAAAAAAAAAAAAAAAAAAAAAAAAAGTAGAATCAACACTACAAAATTTAGGTAAATGACCTTGTACATGTGATATTGATCGCATGCTATATCCCCAGTATATCCATCCACATAACCTGAAACAATGGAATGCACTAATGCGACATCGATAGCGTCTTATAAACACGGTCACTAATCCAAGCCTTAGCTGCAAGTATGTATGACCCCACGGTAAAATGATTAAAATTATGGCACAACTTGAGCATTTTGCTATTATGAGTCCGGGGAACTAAAACTACTACTCCGTAGTCCGTACTATGTAGTATTTAAAACTCCCAATATACGGAAATAATAGTTGCATATACTAGTTTTGCATATACTAGTTTGAAATGCTCGAAAATAATTGTCTCATTTTACTATAAATCTATAATAGCTTGCCTAACATCCCTAAATACTTATTCAACCGTAAGCAATTGCTACTGGTGTAAATTAAACCCTTCAATCAGACAATAAAGAATAACTTACACTTACAGGACAATAAAATCACAAAAAACCCAGAATTTAAGTTTTCAAGAAAACCCAAAAATGAACACTGACCAGCATGAGCATAGGTGTCCCAAATACGGAGGGTCCTGCCATCTTCAAAAGCTGCGCCTTCAACCTGCATAAAACTCCATTAAAACTGTATTAGTAATGGTAATTGTATGAATGAGAGAGAGAGAGAATAAGGGGGTAACTTGATAAGCAGAAGAGCCGGAGCCAAAAATGAAATGAGAGGGGAAATCAGTTCTGCTGTAACTGTAACCCTTTACAGTTGAAGGAGGTTGCAGTAGCAGATAACCAATAATCAGGATCATGACCTTTAATAGTTCTTTCAGAAAACCATTAATCAAAATCATATCTTTCCCTTCAATTACAAACTCTACTTCAATGTGTTTATCTTTGAACAACCAAATTACAAATTGATTGTGAAATGTAAAGCACTAGTAAATCAAAAAGGTTGCACTTTGAGATACTACTATTCGACTAAATAGTCTTGTTTTGTCAATTATTTTGGCCATTGGTTCTCACCGCTAAATATGAGGTTATATACAATTATTGTTCAATTATTTTTTTGGTGGGGAAGGAGAAGGGCTCTGCCGCACCAGATCCTCTCACAGTTAATGTTATGAAGTATTATACAAGTATAAATGTATAATGTTATGAAAGTACGGAGTATTATATAAATATCATTAGACAATCATAAAGTCTAGTTTCATAACTTAATTTAGTTATAATTTTTCTAATATAGGATTAAAGATATTAATGGTCAAAGTTACGTTTTAGTAAATGTGCCGGTTAAACTGATACAAATATTAAAAAAAAAAATAGTGGGAGTATTTTTAACTTCTTATACATCTATCATTTTCCTTAAAAAAAACCATAAAATGATAAAATTATCTAAGTTACTTTTAGGGTCTGGTTACATTTACTTAGGGTCTGTTCTCTTACGTTGAAATTCAGTTCAGTACAGCTCAGTTCAGTTCAGTTCAGTTCAACTGAGTTCAGTTGTAATCCCCCGTATTTTTAAATATTTTATAAATGAAAATTTATTTTATTTATAATATTTATTTGTTATTTTTCATAATTTAATTTCAAAAGTTTCAAATTATTAATCTGGGTCGAAATTTATTTGAACAAATTATTTTAT